CGTGCGAAATAATTTGGCACGCCCAGTGGGATATTGGTGTTTGAGGATACGAAAAGTGAAGCATTATGCCTCATAAGAATTCTGATAAAAAACCAGTAAGCCAAGGAGTAGACCGTCTGTTATCGAGCGATATGAGGAGCAGTAAAGCTCTCCACGAACAGAGGGACAGAGTCAAAGCAATCAAAGTCGCTACAAGTCAATGACAGAGTTGAGTCATCGGACCATGCGCGCATTGCTTAGGGAACTCACACGGGATGTTGTTGAACAGGTAAATCTACGAAATGTTCACAATATGGAAAAATTTACCTAAAATGGGAATGCACATTATGAAAATATGGCCAAACAACTAAACACGTTGAATAAGATCATGAATAAGTTAGTGGGAAAAATATGTCAACCAGTTGTACCAATAGGAATCACTTTCAAATCAGGACGATTGTGGGACATAATTCCCCAAGTTTGAACCCAAGTTAAGAATTAGAAACATCTTACGGTCCATCTACTTCAAACTAAGGGGGTAGTGGAATGTCAAACTTGAATGGTGGTAATGGCATGACAAACTTGGGGGGTAACCCAAATATAAGAGACAATGTCCTAAATAATGGATAGAATACCCCGCGTGTTAATGATTGAATAAGCACTCAGGCTAACGGTAATAATTGCCCAAACAATGACAATTTTGTCGCCAACCAAAGACCAAATATTAAACCTCAAGTAAATCAACCAATGAACCAACCTGTAGGAGTTCCATATGATCCCAATGTCATGTTGAGGAATCAAATTATGGAAATAGTACAAGATCAAATGGCTTTTGGGGTACTTCATATTATTAGGCTGACTTACACAAATCCATATCCTGATTGGGTAGAACGAGCATATCCGTGGCCTAGAGGGTACAAAGTGCCAGAATTTTCATTATTCACTGACATAGGAGAAGTGTCTACTCTGGAACACATAGGGCGATTCACACTGCAAAGTGGTGAAGTAACTAACTATCATAAAATGAGGTTGTTCCCTAGTTCGTGAACAGGAATAGTTTTCTTCTGGTTCATTAATTTGCCAACAAACTCTGTTCAAACATAGCAACAATTGGAACAATTGTTCGACGCTCACTTTTATAAGACTGAATCTGAAGTCACTTTGACCGATTTGGTGAATTTACATCAAATACCAAACGAATGGGCAGGAAGTTTCCTTCAAAGGTTCAAAACAGCCGGAGCAAATGTTTTGTACCTTTGCTCGAGAAAGAAATTGTCAAAATCACTTAAAGTTGTCTGAGCTTTGATTTGAAAATGAAATTCTAGGACACAGAATTTTCTGATATTTTCCAACTTAACGCGAATGTAATTAGATATGAACGATTGATAAGAGAAGAAGAACAAATGAAAATCTCTAGTAAATAGACTTATTATAGAGACCCAAATTTTGACGTTCATCTATTAACAACGAGTATTATGATCAAACTGAAGTATGTTTGGCCGAATTAGTTAAGGGAGATGCGTATGTCTGCCCTATAATGGCCAAACCCAGAGCGTTGGGCAAGAATGAGCCTATAAAAGATGAAACAAAAAATCTAGAACGTTTTCATTCGATGTGGCCAAAGCTGACCTTATATTTGACAAATTGTATAAGGATAAACAGATAAAATTGAGCGATAAGCATAAATTTTCAGACCCTGAGCAAATTAAGGGTAAAAAATATTGTAAATGACACAATGCATGGTCACATATAACTAATAATTGCTTGGTCTTTCGTCATGTGTTATAGGATGCCATCAAGTCAGGACGAATCACGTTCGAAGATAAGAAGTAGAGTTGTAGATGGAAAGAAATGCTCAAAATGCGAAAGCGAGTCTGGGCCGGATGAGCCGCCGCTCGAGCGCCAGGAGGGCACTAGGCGGGCGAAAGCTCTCAGTACAGAATTTCGACAACATCGCTCAAGAGATAGGCAAGCGAGCAGCTAGCGAAAAAGAACCAAAATTTCTCCTTTGTCTATATCTTGACATTTTCAAGTCTAACACAAATTACAACTCCCAATCGGACTTTCAAATAGAATTTTCCAAATAAACTTCGAATAGGATTCCAAATAGAATTTGGGTCACACCCTAATTCTAATAATGAGCATCCTGAATAAATTAACTTATGCCGACTTCTTCTAAAAGTTCTTATAGTCAAATAAAATACTTTCAAAAAATTATCCAAACATACTTAAAAGTAACTTCTCAATTTCTGAAGCAACTTTTAGCTTTTCAAAAGCCTGTCAAATGGACCCTTAGACTACAATTTCAATTTTTTCTCTCTCCATTATATTGATTTTTGATGGGGTCTTTAGACTCCAAGATGTTCAAATGAACCACTAAGTGGTCTACCATATCTTAGACAAACTATATGATAAATAAACTCAAGATTATGCTGTCCCAACAAGGACCTAGCAATCGAATCTCAACAAAATCACAAAGGTACAAAAATGAAAAAGTGGAAGGGGAATTAATTAAGAGGAAAAATAATTAGCTTGGAATTTGTTTACCTAATGCACATGGGATCTTGCTTCATGAATAAAGAAATTAGTTCAGAATCTCATTTCGGTCATTACGTATTATTATTGTTTATTCATAATTACTATACTGAACTTGAAAAAGTTAGATCTTATATTTACGAACTCAACCTCTTGTACTTAAATACTTGCTTGACCCTTCTCGAACATAAAATTACTTCATAATTTTTATTTCGATGCTTGGAAATGGAAGCTAAAAGTAACATCGATATCAAAATCTGCTAGCATACTAAATATCTTTGTGATGTTGTTTCGATTGGATTTACAATATGTTTGGTTTGTGCTATAATTTTGAGTAACTTATTTCAACAAAAAATATTTTTGAAGTTACTTAAACACAACAAACATGCTCTAAATCTGCGAAATGAATATTGCAAACATAATTATGGCAGTTTGTGCTATAATTTTGGATGACTTATCTCAACAAAAATTATTTTGGAAGTTACTTCTTTAACACAGTCAAACATGCTCTAAATCTGCCAAATGATTATTGTATATATTTTATTAAGCACCATACTTCTTGAATAGTGAAGGCACGTTGCAGCATATATTTCATACAGCTGAGCTGGTAATGGTATAGCTGAAAGAATAAAAAAAAATAGTATTTTTTTTTTAAAGTCGAAATTCCCCTGTAAAATAATAGGGCGATAAGAAAATTAGTGAACGGGATTTCCATTTAGTAGGACCCAAACTGTAAACAGCCAAAAGATAAATAAAAATAATAAGCTGGCATCGTTTTTCTACCAGTCAAGCAACCAACCCTGCCTATTATTTGTCCCCTCTCTCGGGTCACAGCCACAGGTGATTGATCTCTGATTTTCTTTACTTCTTTCTTGTAATTTAGCTACTGTTTTCTTGAATCTGGACTAAATTTGGCTTTGAAATTGTAGAGTGGTTTATACTGACTGGATATTGGGAGTCTACTTTCTTGATTTATGTCGCATTACATTCGGACAAGAATTGTCAGAAGATGACTGAGAATTAAGCAGTGGCTGTCTTTAGATTGTAAGAAATGAGTGCTACGAGGTTCATAAAGTGTGTGACTGTGGGTGATGGAGCTGTTGGCAAAACCTGCATGTTGATTTCTTACACCAGCAACACTTTTCCGACGGTCAGTTCCCCCCACGTCGGCAAAAAAGAAAAAGAATATATATTATTCCTCACATTTGATTTCAAGGGCTTTTTTCAAGAATTCTCTGTTGTTTTTTGAAATTCTTTTGACTTTTGATGGTTTTTTGCAAATATTGCCCCTTTTTCTTTTTTCTTTACTCGTCTGTTTCTCCCCTTTTTGTGGGTCGGGGAGCTGATAAAGTAACAATTGAAGGGTTCTTTTTCTTTTTCTTTCTCTTTTCCCTTGACTAAAGTCTCTTTTAGTTATTTGAGGAATTTCAAATTTAATTTGAATCTCTACTGAGACGTATATGGATTATGATTGATGGATTAAATAAGGGTGGAAAAATTCGTGTCTGATTGCGAGAATCTTGTGATTATCTGATTGTTGTGAAGCTTCTTCTTCATCTGTTTTTTCTTGAATTTAAAAAATCTTTCAATGATCTGTATGTGTTAGGATAATGGTTATCTTTTTTAGGTAATTCATGTTCACCAAGTCTTGTCTATCTTCTTAGGTTCTTGGACAGTACTAAGGAATGTTAGGGATTTACAGCATAATATAGTTCAAGCTCCTTCTAATACAATGACAGAATTCAATAATGAATCTGAACCTCAGCATAAACTAATCAACAGAGTTCAACAATCACAAGGTCTCCAGCATACATTAACATATATATTGCAGAAATCATAAGAATACATAGAAGCTGAAAAACCGAAAACATAAACGAGACAAAGGAAAAAGGCAGAAACGCTACTTCCCTTTCTTTGGTTTTGCTTCCCTTTCATTGGTTGAAATGTTTAGGCTCAGGAACAGCCTCCATACCTTGCAAATTGCCATCCAGAGAGAACACAAGAACCGGTTCAGAACCCCTCCTCACTTGGCTTGGATCATTGATCAAGAGATCTCCCAATAGCAGCCAAGAATCACCTTAAACCCTCGAGAAACACCAACCCCACCCAACTCTATTTCACGCCCGAGTATATCACGGGAGCCACTCAAGAAAGGGGCTCAATATTCAGTGAATATTGAGGGAAGGACAGCCAACTTCATCGAAGAAACAGGGAGGAGGAATGGACAGAGAACAAAGAGATCGAAGAAGAGACGGGAAGTGTCCGAAGAAGGAATGAAGAGTCTCACAAAAATGAACCCACATGAATATATGCCCAAAAGTCAAGCCAATAAAATATCTAAGCAAAGATTCAATCCCAACCGTCCATATGATCCGAGGGTCATAATAAAACCAAACTAACACAATCCGAGTGAAACCAAAGTTACCAATAGGTGAGTGACACCTAGGCAACTAAGGTAAATAATAAGTAACAATCTAAATGTCACAAATGGCACCAGCCCACAAGTATTAGGAGAACCACAATACTCACATTCTTCACCTTGGTTCTCATGACACACACTCTCTCGGTTGCGAATTTGCACATGGAAGTACTGTTCATCATCATCGCCCACTACCTGTAAGAAAAATTAACCAGTATCAATGTGCAGCAAAAATAAGTATAATTTAAATTTTCCTACAGGTAGAATTTTTGTTCCCACATTAGAGGGATTCCTATCGGTATGAATCTTAACAAGTTCGACTTTACCTTGAGATAGCTTCTCACGAATGAAATGATACTTCACCTCAATATGTTTAGATCTCTTATGATAAACAGGGTTCTTACTAAGTGACAATGCACTTTGACTATCAGTAAACATAAAAGGTGTATCATGCATGAAGTTCAATTCTTTT